GCCACCGCTGACTGACCTGAGTGAAGGTGGGTAGCCTCCTTCTGTTTGCTTGGAGATAGCACGCACCACAACCTCGGATCGACCGCGACTCGGACCTGAACGTGCCCAGCAAAGTCTGCTGGAGGTGCGCAGGGCGGACCTCGTCGCCAAGGTGAACTTGTCCCATCTGGTGTCGCTCATGTCCTGGATGCTGTGCCACAATATGGCGCACGACGTCTAGAGGGTAATCGTTCTACGATGAACGTGCTACCTTGTCTTTCGCTGGCTGTAGATGTATGTAGTCTAGACGTAGTTCAGAGCATGTAACAGATTAGTGATAATGAGCACTCATGTCACCGCGCACAACACTGTGCCAAATGAAGAATATTTGGGTCAAATATCTATCAAATATGTGGTTGCGGACTCCAAATATTTGGAGGAATCACAAGAGGACCCACAGCGCATGCAAGCAGCACATGATCCTCCCTGCACAGCGCTCGCACTAAATATTTGGCAAATATTTGAGGGAGGGGGAATACCCTCCTCCCTCACTCCCTACACACATCCCAAATATTTGGGGTTCACCTCCAATATCTGGGAGGGGCATCCCTCCCGCCCTCTCAAATATTTGAAGGGGCCACTATAACATCTGGGCGAAATAATTCGTATTTTACTATAACTATAAGGTTCGAAAAATTTATTCAGTGTGTACTGGTGGCACCTTACGAGTCGGGCCAATCTGGGTGCCTGTCATCAAGCGCATGTTGGACGTAGGGTAAGGCCACAACGTACCGCCGCTAGCGTGAAGCCCAATTGGAGACAATTGAGAAAGAGCATCACCCTATGCGCGCAATCAGTCGAGATGGTTTAAGCAGGGGCTCAAATACTCGTACATGAAGTAGGCAGTTCCTACAAAAGACAGTCAAGAACCGCAAGCGACAGACGAGACGGATACACGCAGCTCACCATTGTACAGGATGACATGGGCCAGAGTACGTTTCCTCGTTCTCTTGCGGATCATGCCTTTCCTGTAGGTCGCGATCCATGTGACGGCAAGGATGATCATCTCTGCAGTGATAAGGCTCGTCCGCGAAACAATGGTAACTAAAGGGTTTCTTTTAGCGGGCTCCTGTTTGAAACACGTCTCATGACGTACACCTACATAGTAGTCAGTACAATCGAAGAGAGGAGAGGAATCATGGATGCTTACGTATTTGCCAGCTTGGAGGTTATAGGCCCTTGAACCGTCTTGCAGTCTGGGGTGTGGTCAGGTAGACCTGACAAGAGCATGATACAGAAGGTGGCGGCCTAGCGAGATGGGTAAGCCGATAGACTAAACCTACATGCGGTTCTGGAGGGGCGCTCACAAACTTGACAATGTTGGGCATCATGGAAAGGATGAAAACGAGCACTGCCAAAGGCCACGTTCCGCTCAAAGCATAGACACGTAATGCGGAGAAAACTAAAGCGTGGTGAGCATAGAGCTAGGGAGATAGAATCATGGCACCAACTAGACCAAGGAACGTATAGGAAACCCTCGATAGATTGGAGGCCTCGCGCTGATTGCATGCAACTAAGTCGTGACTGTGAGGTTGCGATGGACGGTGCGAGCGCAGTCGTAGAAAGCGAACCTCTAAAGTAGGCATGTCAGGCGGAGACCACTGGATAACCAAACAGGACGAACTTTGGGAGAGGTGTAGTAAGGAGTCGCGGCTTCTGCCACGGCCCATAAGAGGGTATAATACCTGTTGAAGAAGAAGAGGATTCCTGCTCCCGTTGTATGCTTCTTCCAGAACAAGGCCACCTCCATGTCGAGAGTGATGAAGTACTCATATCCGAGGAACGCTGGTACAATGCGCTGTATGAACGTCGTGACTCATACTAGATTGACCTAAGGGAACATACCGACTACGGCGTAGTAGCCACTGACAGTGGTCATCATAATCAGAAACAGCGATTTACGAGGAAAGGGTAGCATGCTACGTACAAGTTGCTGAAAGCGACGTTGTCTAGGGTTTCCTGGGATGGCTCATACGACGCCATAGTCGGATAGCGAGGTACGAAGGAGCGGGGGAAAGGAGCGGAAGGGTGGTACTGTATATGCGACTATGCAGTGCTTCCGGACAAGTCATCTAGTCAGCATGCGACCGCATTACGCTAGAAGATGCTCTCACCATGGAAAGTGCTGTAGGGAAAGGCTCGACGCTTTCTCCGGTCCCATCGTATCGCACCGCCGCTGCCACAGGAAGCGGAACATATGACCACAATGCATTGCGCGACTGCAGACAGAGGCTATCACTAGTGGGTGAGCTGGGTGGGGTATGCGATGCACACTAGACGAACCCTCCTTGTGCATATGACGGTATGGGGAAGATGCCAAAAATAGGCAAAGAGAGTTGCCAAACGAGGTCGCATTAACCTGCTTCGCGTGAGACTCGCGCAGTGTGGCGTGCTTCTTGAATGCTTCTCCACGTCTTCATAACCTTCTTGCGGGAGATCGTATCAAGGACGGCTCCTTCCAAGTTGACTTTTGCCAACCTTCGTCACTATATCATGCGCATGGCGTCTTATCGAGGGACCAGTTTGATACGTGAACAGACCAACCTTACTTTGAGGCAGTGGCAATGTAATGTGGTCAATGCTAATAATTCGTTCCATGTCATGTTCGGTTTCGAATGCGGGAAGCAAGAATAAGCTCACAGTCCGGGCATCTCGGAATATCGGAGGGAAGTGCGGGAGTAATGGCCAAAGTTAGTCAACCCTTCAGTACTGGCAGCCTGTGTCTAACTGGGCGAATATGTCGGTGTGTAGAATGCATGTCTAGTGGTCCAGCTGGTCTCTCTGAGTACTGAAACAAAATATGCTTCAAGAACGTGTTCCACTGCATGGCCGAGGCAAATATCATTGAGCACATCAAGGGGCGCTCTCACGCTGTCAGCCAATGGCGAACAGGCGCCTAAACCATCCGCTCTCCGAGCCTGAACGGATGCCAAATGCTTGAACGCTACCACCACCTCATCTCCCCCCTGCTTGAGCCATACAGTCTACACCCCTTCGGTGTGGGAGCCTAGGAAGATAAAACTGTGATGTATAGCGCCAAAATCTCGCTCTAAAGCGCTTCACTAGTGCACACGTCTCGGTCACAATTTCGGACAAACGACAAGCTCATTCTTCGGGAATACGGCCCATAGGACAGGCTACGGAGTTTGCAAGGACTACCGGAGTTGAAGACCTCTGCGGGCGTTGCCGCAATCCTTGATTTCGGAGAATCCGCATACGTCGAGAGTTGCAGCCGCTTCTGCAGCGCGAAAGGTACCTTGAGCGACGGCTCTATTCATATGTACGTCGGGCATGGCACATCTTCAGACGTTCAAGCCCATATCGCACTAGTCGTCCTATCATGCCCGAGGTCTCACCGAATACATGGATACCAGTCCCCTCTATTCCGCCTCGGCTCAGGCTTCTCCCTTCATTGAGACGTACACGAGCGTCGACTTTGAGGAGGCCCCAGACGTTTCCCGGCGTCCCGCTGCGATACCATTAACCGCAACGCTATTTGTCGTGTCATTCGACTGCCTCCCGCTCCTCGACACTCCTCGAGTCCCTGATCGCGTTCGCGAGGACGCTTCCGATCTCCGGGGCATCTCGCCAAATTGATGCCTGCGCCTGCAAACAATGCACCGTGTCCCCAAGGATAGTCACGTTCGGGGCATGCGTCCTCTTATGGTCTCAATGCAGGTGTGTGTAGATCGCATTGTCATCGCATAAATTAGGGCGAAACCCTTGAACTTCTCGAGCAAGACCTTGCGCGCCTCGGGTCGGCGGGATCATGGAACTAGTGGTATGCATGTATCCGGCCGTCGCTATGGCGGCGAGTATATTGGCCTCCTACGGCTCTCGTGCTGCTGTCGCCGATCATGCTGACGACGTCCTGCAGATACGACCTCTTCGTATCCTCTAGGGCGATGGAGATCCCGGCGCCGATACCCCGCGGTATACTGGTATGGCAGGAGAGACGAGCGGACGATTACAGGACCTGACGCCATCCGCTCTGACGAGGATCTCGACAACGGCGGTGTGACTGTTCATGAATGTCATTGCCGAGGTCTTGCGCGGATGCGAGAGCGTGGCCTCACTTGATGCGCGATGGTGTTTAGCAGGATCCTCCGCAGCACGGAGCGATCGATGTCGGGGCGGACAGACGTCTATTGGATTTCCGGGTCGAGAGATGTACGCGAAGATACTTCGCCTCCGAACCCCAGGCCAAGCACAATCCCAAGGTAGGATAGAGGTCTGGGTTCGTCTCACGTTCGTAGATGATGCATGGTATTGCCTCAATGTCTTTAGAAGAACGTGAGCATACCCGGTGGCCGCCCGGTCCTCCGCCGATGATTGCGATGTGATGACAGGCAGTCGTAGCTGTTCATGCTTGAAACAGTTCACACTTCTAGAACTCGACTCTGTTTCGATTTAACTGTGCTAGCGTACCTTCTTCGCATTGATTGTTGAGAGGTCGAATGTCGAAATGGAGATGCTTTGGTGACTGTCGGAACTGCTTGGGGCTCAGAACGATGAATCGATGAACATCCTTGACCGGTGTATGTAATATCATCGGTTCCCTAAGTCGATGTACTTGTATAGAAGTCGCTTCTGGTTTTCCGAGTGCTCTTCCCACATACAGCCAAGGGCGAAGCCGTCCGGATTCATGCTCCCAGTGAGCGGTATACCTTCGCAGGGTTGATCGGACGGTTCGTGTTTCCTGTAGAGTATACAAACCTTTTCGGTGGCCTAAGGTGTACGTATGCTGTAAATCGAAACAATCCCTCTGATCTCCAAGCCAGAAACCTTCAAGTCAGGTCAGTTACGTAGGTCCTACCTCGTAGCACACCTCTGCGTCACCCTCGATGTTCATCTGACGGACGACGAGCATGTTCATCGGAGAACTGCCTACGCTTCCCATACAGATGCTATTTATCATTCGGTGCAGAGAAATATCGTATCGATTCTCGTGCGCCGTGTACTTTTCAACTGCTTGTCGGACCCTACGGGATATCCTGAGTAATCTCCCCACAGTCCCTCGTCCCTCCGGCACTGAGGTTGGATCCTAGAGAGCCGATAATATGCGCGAAATCTATCGTGCTGCGACCGGATTCTGTGTCTGTCTGCATGGAGCCTTGAGAATCGAGGTTCAGCCCTCGCCGTCCAGCTTCCTGAAGGTCGAGCAGGAAGCGAGAGACAAGGATCGTGGTGAGGCTGCAGTGAGGCGCATCACCATGGATCCTCGAAGAAGAGTTTATGGAATCAGGCTTACGGTTCCTCGAATGTCACGATCTCACTGGCCAGCTGGTCAAACCGAATGGCTTCAACCTGGTCGCAGAGATGCAGTCAGGTCCACCGTGGCGGGAGTACACTTAATGAAACTCACCGGCGCAACGTTAAAGACAAGGTGGAGAACATTCAGTATGAGCATGAGCCTGAGAGGAAATCCGATGGGAGTGAGATTCGCCCCTACAGCAGACACTCAGAATAGTCGCGGTACTGACAGGAAGTATTTTGTTCCTTTGAACAACCGCTTGTTAGACGATGAACTCTCTGAGCAAGGCAAGATTTACCATTTCGCACTAGAACCTGTTCCAAGGTCTGGTGTTGAGCTGCAAGATGAATGTTCCGGGTTTTATGGGTACACAGCATAGTGACAGCAAGGCTGATACAATCGGCCAGGATGAGACTGGGACGAGAGAAAACAATGACTACAAGACACATTAGTTGCGTGAATAGGCATCACTGACACCAATAGCAGCATGTATGCCTACACCTGCGATAGTACTATCAGCGAGCATTCGAAGTACAAAATAGCTGGGCTGACAGTGTATCTTGCAGATGGTTCACCGGTCTTTCTAGAATGGTGCACCCAAGGATTGGATCCATTGCACCAGTGATGTCGGAGATACCAAAGAACAGTATCTTGCAAAGGGATCATGAAGGACTCAAATCCGTGGGAAACACTGTGAGTCCCGTACCGTGTTCACCAATATCGGCCCGAAGGAAAGGAGGAGTACAGCGATTGAAATACTTTTCCAACGGCTTAACGCATAGACACGTAGGGCCGAAAAAACTGTTTGGGGACTGAGTATATGAGTGGCGCTTCTGAGAGGTCAGGGAATCTCACCAGCCCATGGCAAATATATCGATACACTGACAGCAGTAATAAATTGACTTGTGATGGTGCAACTGCAGGACCGTTGGGATGGGTCAATTCAAAAGATGAGGGATTCTCCATGCAGTACCTCTTTTCGAGAGTTAGAATGGCTCAAGCATGGACACTCACACTTACTTTCAAGGTAGGCGAGGGAAGACTGAATGCTTGTAAGGCATAGTTGACTAGGCCAAGATACCTGTTGCAGAAGAACAGGATTCCGGCACCAGTCAACTTCCCTTTCCAGAAGAAATTGACCTCGCGATCAAATGTGATGAAGTGGTCATAGCATATCAACACTATGCGGTCAGTCTTCAGTACAAATAAAACAGGCTTGGGTAATACCAAAGACAGAGTAATCGCCACAGGCCTGAACAAAGCTGGAAGATATTAGTCAGCTCTGAAGGTACAGGGAAATCGGCGACGGACTTGGAAGCAATTAGGTCGATGATCGACCCCACGGAGTCATCTGCACCACCAGAGGACATGATGGCAATAGACGTGGAAGTTTGCGCGAAGACCGCCAGTCAGTGCATACTTGAGGATCATGCCTACTTATATATGCCTACCCTATTGCAAACCCAACTGTCCCATGATGAACAGTCTGATACCTTCTAATTGGAGAGGGTAGCATACACGGTTCCCAAGAAGACCTTGAATCTCTCTGTATAGAGTTTCCATGAGGCTGTGGCTTCTGATCGGTCATCGCAAGCGTTACTTCAGGATCCGCTGATGATGTCCGTCCTTCGCACATAGATTCTATTTATGGTAGGGACGAATGCATGCGGGTACAACTTGTTCCACACTCGCTCCATTTCAAAAGGAGTGTCAACCGTATCGAACAGTGTCTCCCTCATAGTGTGATACTTCCTACTAGATCTGAGCAGTTACCTCAAGCACTTAGTATCAATCCTCGACGCCGACTTGAGAGAGGCGGTACACTCTCCTGGTCCAAGCTCTGAAGTCTATTCTTGAGTTCTGGGAGCAATAGAACTTTGATTGTAACGCTCCACAGCAACTTCCCATTCAGTGATACAAAGATGTACTTATCTCTCGCGTCTGCGCCTACAGGACACTTTGAAAGCTTGTGCGCGAGATGGACGAGCGACACGCCATACATGCTTACCCAGTTGGGTGAGATAGAGTGAGCGACCCGGTTTATTAAATTAACATTTAGCTGGAGGACGGTTTAGCTGCGGACATCCCTGCAGTAAGCAGGACCGCGCAGAGCAGTGTATGAAGATTGAACTAGAGCTCCTTTAACTCGTACCACCACCAGCGACAACTTTCCCACGGTCGTCATCCAATAGGAGCGGGCTACGCCGTGCGGTCAGTTCTCTCTCTGGGCGACGCACTAGTTTATATCGAACACTATACACATACTAATAGCAGAATGCCGCTGGAACCTGTCAGACGAGGAGGAACAGCATCGCCACAAGTTACCTCGCGGTCGAAGAAGACGTCGGCGCCAGTACCGGCGGGCACACCGCCCGCAAGGCAGATGCGGCCCCCAACCGAAGACACATTTACGGCAGCGTATGGGAAGATCAAGACGATAGAAGACGCTCTGAGTGTGTTGCGCAGGCATGAGATGGTACCCGCAGCAGGAGACCCTACGGCTGAAGGACTAATTACCGGGCTTCTGCACGTGGGAGTAGCCCTAGTGGGCAAGAACGAGTGGGCGGCGGAATGCTGCATTGGGCTGGCGGTATACGCAAAGACAGTTATAGAGGGCGCGGTGAGTGAATCCTTAACAGACGCTTTACTCACCCGTCTCGAGGCACAGGCTACCACCTTAATCAGTGGCCTGGAAGAACGAGTAGCCGCCGCAGGAGATCGCATCACGGAACTCACGAGCAAGCTAGCCGGTGTTGAACCCGGGGGGCGAAGGCCTCTCCCACGGGTGGCAACGACAGCGGATAGCCTGCAACTCACCTAGAAGGGTTGGTTGATTGTAAGAGGCTTGTAAGAGCGATGAGAGGAGATGTTCGAGTGAACTAAACTGTAGATTGGGGGTACAGAGGTCCCCTATATATACTACTGTACGTCTGTGGCTACGTAGTACTATACAGTACATTCCCAGGATGCACAGTCGCACAGAGAAGCAGTGCGTACACAGCAAAGCTGTGTGTGTACCACATGAGTAGTACAGCCTCGGTTATTGCAGTAACCGGCTGTGCCGTTCCATATCTTGTGACGGCTGTGTTAGGCAAGCTGTGTAAACCAGCGCCTGTTCAACACTCCCCCTCGCTAAGTATCCGAATGGTTACGCAAGCGTAGCAGGCGCTTTAAGCAGCTCTGGACTTTGGGAAGCGGAGACCAAGTTGTGAGTGAAATTTCAAGAACTTCACTACACCAAGGTTCTTGGTAAAGATGTCCGCAGGATTGTCGTTTCCGTCTATATAGAAGACATCAACGATTCCTTTATCATGTACCTCACGGATATAGTGATATCGGATGTCAATGTGCTTTGACCTTGACTCCGT